CATGCTCGTGGGCTGCACTCTGTTTAAATCTTAAAGGTTTTCGTAGATAACACAGAGAGATGCAGTTCCAAGAAAGCCAAGAAAGCCGCAAGAAAACAGTCCAAGGGGTTCCCAGAAGCACAGTCCGAATGTGGAGCAAAGCGGAGAGGAGAGCCTCATCTGTTTATCCGATTTCTATTTCGATTTTGCTTTGAATCTACCCATTTTCTAATGATGCACTAACTTTAAACTGTCTTTAGTTGAAGTATGCTAGCGATTTCTGACGATTCTTAGAGTGGGTCTTCCTGCCTACATCCCAAATGTCCCAAATCTCAGTTCTTTTTGCTCCCGTTTCACGGCCCAAAAGATCTCGTATTTTTCGGTTTCAGTTTTGGTGGGGTTAAGAGGGGCTGATGGAGTGGGGTGGGGAGGGAGAGTTTTGGAAGCTTCAACCAGTAACAAGTAACTGTGTTAATTATTTTCTTTCGAGCGCTTGCCAGAGGTCAAGAGTCGTCGACCCCAGACATTGACCCCCACCTTCTCCCAGGCCCACGGCGATCATCGCCTAACGACAAAATTCGAGTTTTGTTTTGTTTTTCATTTTGTTTGCTTTAAGAGTATCTTCAATGGCGCTGCGTGTGTTTGTCTCAGTGTTCGGCTGGCTGGAGCGTCGTTTTTACACCCGTACTCAAAAAAGAGTTAAGGGGTATTGTGGTAAAAGTGAATGTGTGTAACGCAGAGAAGGAAACGTTTCCGACCCCATAAAGATATATATTCTGATCAGCATCATAGCCGAGTCGTATAGCCATGTCTGTCGTCCGTCTGCCGTCTGTCTGTCTGTCTGTCTGTCTGTCTGTCTGTCTTGTTGAGCGCCTAGATCTCAGAGCTATAAGAGCTAGGGCAACCAAATTTGGTTTCCAGACTCATGTGTATCACCTGCTATAAGTGTATTCAATTTCGCCCCGCCTCCTTCCGCCCCCACAAGGACGAAATTGTGGCAGGCACAATTTTAAAGAAACGATAAAACTAAAAACGCAGTATCGTAGAGATGACCAATTACAGACTCGAATCTGAATCAGATCGGATCATAATTATAGCCAGAATGAAGAAATTAATTTTCAGTTGCTTCCCCTCCCCCTCCCGCCGAGACAACACAACTCATTTTCCTCTCGCTCGCACACTGCCGCGTTCAGAGCGGCAACCCTAGCGGAGGAGATGTAGAATATGAATGAACTGTACAATCTACATGTTAGTGTATAATAGACTTTTATATGTAGTGTAGATACATATGTAGCAAAAAAATTTAAAATGTAAAATTTTTTTTTTTAAAATCTAAAAAATCATAAGCTCAAAAGTGATGTATATACTGACTGAGTACGGGTATAAGTAGAGTCGTGTCCCCAGAAACGACTCACACGTTCCTTCTCGTTTATTCATCTATTCCTCCAGTTTTTAGATGCATGTAATTACAGCCCGAAGCCCTGGAGTCGGAAGGGTGGTCAGAGGAGGGGAGGGGAGGGAGAGAACACTCTCTGTGGAGCCATCCGATACGCCTTTTGGCTCTTCACAACATCTTCTCGCTTTGGGGCTCTAGCCAGAGCAGGTAGCTCTGTCTTCCGTCTGTGTTGTGTCTGTCTGTGTGTGTGAGTACCCCCCCACCCACTCCTTCATAATTATGGCTATTATTTTTGGTGTCGGATTTACATTGGTGTGATTGAAAATTGAATAAAATAAGCCATTCATTAGGCATTTATCAAAGCGGCTTACAGGCTTTCAGGCGTTCAGCTTTCAGGATCAACATTTGGGTGTCTCTTTGTGTTCATTTTATTTGCATTTTCTATGGACCGGTTTTCCCGAACATTTTACTTTCAATTGCAAAACATGAACATTTACCACAGGTACGACAAAATGCCGTTGTCGCCTCATGTCTGTGTCCGCTGTGTCCGCTATGTCGGCAGTGCAGAAAAAAGCGAAATTTTAATAGACTAACAAAAAACAACTGCAACAAAATGATGCGTCAAATTCTAACCGGTTTCGGGGTTTTTTATACCCGTACTCAAAAAAGAGTTAAGGGGTATATTAGATTTGTGGTAAAAGTGGATGTGTGTAACGCAGAGAAGGAAACGTTTCCGACCCCATAAAGTATATATATTCTTGATCAGCATCAATAGCCGAGTCGATATAGCCATGTCTGTCTGTCCGTCTGTCTGTCTGTCTGTCTGTCTGTCTGTCTGTCTTGTTGAGCGCCTAGATCTCAGAGACTATAAGAGCTAGGGCAACCAAATTTGGTTTCCAGACTCATGTGATATCACACTGCTACAAGTGTATTTCAAAATTTCGCCCCGCCCCCTTCCGCCCACACAAAGGTCGAAAATCTGTGGCAGGCACAGTTTTAAAGATACGATAAAACTAAAAACGCAGTATCGTAGAAAATGCCCATATCTACCAGATTGCCGAATCTGAATCAGCTCGGATCATAATTATAGCCAAAGTGAAGAAATTAATTTTCAGTTGCTTCCCCTCCCCCTCCCGCCAACGACAACGCATCTCATTTCCTTCTCGCTGCACATTCTGCCGCGTTCAGTGCGCGAGCAACCCAGCGGAGGAGATGTAGAATCTAATTGGAACATGTAAAATCTACATGTTAGATGTAGAATATACATTGTATATGTGATGTAGATATCATATGTAGCAAAAAAATGTAATATGTAAAATTTTTTTTTTTCTAAAATTCTTAAAAATCATAAGCTCAAAAATGTATATACTGACTGAGTACGGGTATAAGTGAGTCGCGTCCCCAGAAGCGACTCACACGTTCCTTCTCGTTTTTTTTGGTTTTTCGTTTTTCTTGCTTTTAGTTGGGGTTTTCTAAATTGGGGGAAGCAAATTGCTGGAAAAAGTTGTGCAGGACACGGCTTGGCCTCTCGTATTTGTATGTATGTACATTGTAGCTTATAGGGAATTGAGGCCTAACCTATCCATCCGTTTGGCTGGCTAACCCACGAGATCTCATCGTAAAGTGATCTTCAGCTTGGCCTGAATTGCACTGGCGAGATCCTCAAGCTCAATCTTCTGCCATGGCCAATCATCAGCCGGTCTCAATCACTTGACCATGCCTGCCCCTTGCCTCACTACTGCACTCGACTCCACTCCACTCCATCGTCCATCGTCCACCGTCTGTCGTCATCTTGGAACCGCTGTCCATTGCAATTCTTGAGGCATTTTTCGTTCGTTTCCATTTATTTGGGTCACGGACATTCATATCTGCCCCACTCTACTCTGTCTACCTCTGCCCAGTGTGTTCTCTACAGGTTTTTCGACTTTTACTTGCAACTGGGAACTGAACTGGCATTGAATGTTGACTGCTGAATGTTGACTGTTGGTTGGATCTTTTCATGTTGGTGGTTCCGTGTTTCTTCTCTTGAAACAAAACCGAAAATTCATTTTAATTGTTTTCTTGCACTTTTTTTTCTTTTTTCTCATCTTGTTCTCATCTCCTCTCATTTCGGCCATGCTGTTTGCTGTTGATTAAGCTGTAAAAACAGCTGTTATATTTATGCTGCCGTCTCGCTGTTTGTCTTTCTGTCGTTTGTCGGCTTTGTCTCTTGTCGTGTTATTCTGCTGTCACTTGTCACCTGTTTGGATAAGGTTTTTGCCGCCGATCAGATAGTCAAGCACTTTCCATGCCCAGTCTGCTCAGGGTATTGCCTATCGGTCCCTATCGGTCTACGCGTAATACCTCTATCTATGCAAAGTAAATCCCACAGAACTTTGGTTTGTGTACAAGCAGCTGAAGTTGAAGTTTTCTATTTGCAATTGGTCAGAGAAGCATCAAAACAGTTTGATTTGATGTAAGGTTGTTTAGGCAATGGTTTCGGCAATGATCTGCCACGCAAACAATCTGTCGAAAACCGAGAACTTGTAAGAAAAACTAACACATATTTTTTTAAATAAAATCCAACTAGATGGGTAAGGGTATCTAATACTTCTGCCTCGTCTCTGAAACTTTTTCTCTGTCTCTTGTTGCTGTTTCGGCTGTTCCGTCTGTCTTAATCGTTTTGAAACAGATTGTTTATCGAACTTGACATTTGTGGCACACTTTTTGGCTTGATGGGAGGTTCCCCCCGTCCACAAGAAGAAAGATCTATTGAGATTGGTTAAGGGGGCAAACCAATCTCAATAGATCTTCCAGATCTTCTCAAAGGCAGGAGGAGGGAGGTACAAGCAAGCGAAACAATAGAAAAGAAAATTTCACTGCTGCGGCCATGACTGGGCGATTGCACTTCGCCCAGGGGCCATGGGGCTGGGCTGCTGGCACCCAAAAAAAAATCCCCACACACCGCACACCGCACTCCGATGGGGGCTACGCGGTGGCACTGGAAATGGCAACTGTGCAAATAGCAGAGTCAAAAAAAAAAGCAGAGAAGCAGACGAAAACAAAACCAACAATTGAACACGCGTGGTCAGAGAGGGGGGGAAGTGGAGTGGGAGAAAGAGAGCAAATAACATAAAAGCACCAAAAGCTCCAAAAGGAAAGAAGCAGCATCAGAAGAAGGAGAAAATGAGAAGGAACAACAAAAACATGTAAATGGAAAACCAAACAAAATCATTTGATGTGATGTACAATGAGGACGTTGTTTTTTCTCTCTCTATCTCTCTCTTTGGTGTTGCTATTGTTTCTCCTCTACTTCTTCCCTTTCTTCACGCTATTATTGTTGTTTTTGTGGGCTGAAATAGTGGAGAATCAGTAAGTGGAACGTCACGCCAGAAGCACAAGAACAGCAGCAGCGCAGCCGCAGCCTCAGCCTCAGCCTCAGCGTCGACGTCGGCAGCATGCGGGGGCGTGCTGCAGAGTTCAATGCGCGAGGGCGGAGAACCAGGAGAAGGACAGCGGAGGAGGTTGATGGAACAGACGCCAAGAAAACAGGATCGGAAGGAACAAAAGTGGTGGGAAGGAGACCGCTGGCGTGTTTCCCCAGGAAGGGTTCTTCCTTGGCACTTATCACTTTACGGGTACTAACCTCTTCCACCTTTTGCTGCATTTTGGTTTAAGTTGATTGATTGTCTCCTTGGTGTCGCGCTGCGCTGCAAAAAAACGGTTGATTTTACAATCGTACGAAAGAAGTCACTCAACAAAAACAAAATTGACAAAAAAAATGAAGAAGCGAGTGTGCCGTGCCGCATTAGTGCACTTTCACTGTCGCGGCAGCAGTTAACGTTTATTATTTATTATTTATTACAATTTAATGATTGCTGTTGTTTGATGAGAAAAGTTCTCTTTGACGATCCGTGGTTGCGCGCGCGCAAAGCTGCAGAAAACAGAAAACAAAACAATGCGAGAGGAGCACGACCAACACGCAAGGGCAATAGCAATCAATATATTTTTCAATATACAATTACTTGATATTTTTTTGTTTGAAAATATATAAATAAGCGGACTTTTCGGATTTCAGAAAATAATTCGACACTATTTCTCTGTTGTTAACGTGTCCGCGGCTTTTTTAAAATGGTTTGAAAAAGAGGTGTCAAACCATCGAGGGCACTATGGATAGTATCGATATTTTACTGATGGCCTCTACTATCGACGGGTTTGAGACTATCATGATAGTATCGAGCTACAGTCGTTGCGCTTTTGATATGTTTGGATTGGCTGCTATAAAATACGAAGACAAATTTGTAAAAAAAATCGACAGGTGGCATCTAATTTTTACAATGGACAAGATCCTGAAAGGTTTCAATGGTTTTTTAATAATTATTTCAGCCCGATACTATCACGATAGTATCGATTGTTTTTTCAAAAAATTCGACGTTGATATTCCTCGATATTGATATTCCGTTTAATAGGCTGTTTACATTGGGACTGCGTCATGCTTCTTTGCGTCTTGGCAAAGACGCAGTTTTTTTTACATAGGTTAAGCATAGGGCCCTAGTGGTGGCAAAAAGTTGCGTCGGTCTCTGATTCATGTGCGTCTATTCGATATATTCAATTGCTTTTGCGCTTAACTGCACATTTTTGCACTTTTCTGCCTATCACCTCTAAGAACAACAAAAACTTGTAGTTAAAAAATCCAATTTTGGCGCTAAAAAGAATGGTTGTGCAAAAAGGTGAAAATATACATAAAATCATGAAATAAAATACTTGAAACTGATTGTATTATTATCATACGACATTTTTGTGATCCCCTGATGCCATTATGACACTGCTGAAGACGAACTTCGATGGTTTTCATAATTTTAAGAAGAACTGCCACAAGCTCTACAAAGAAATGTCTGAAAATAATAAATAAATATAAGAATCAATTCTCTTTCGTCCATTTTCTTGTCGTCTTGCATAATTCTGTTGATGTCTCAAAGTTTGTTTACTTTCCTTGTCATCAAGCACCCAAAACAAAATTCAAGACGCACGTCTGCCATGTAAACGCCTTTTCTGCTTCATTGCGTCTATTCCGATATCGATAGCAGACGCACCCAGTGTAAAAAGGCTATAATATTACCAGCTAGCTGGGACTTTCAGCCCTAAACAAATAATTTTATCCGATAGATTTTCTACAAGATTGGCAAGTTTTCAGAAGTCCTTTTTATTGCATTATTTACAAGAAAGGCTCAAACAAAATCAACATAAAACGAATGTGACGTCGTTTGTGGCGCTGCCAGACTCGTGCAATTCGTAGTTGCTGCGAGCTGCCATACCATGATATTTTGTGATGTGAAATTCGTCAATTTTGATATTCAGTTTAATATTACTAGGTAGTTGGCCCTCTCAGCCCTAAACAAATTATTTTATCAAATTCCTCAATGAATTTTGTTTAGGATTGGCTAGTTTTCAGAACTATTTTTAATGGGATTGTTTAGATAATAGGGTTCAAACAAAAACGGCCAAAGCATAAAACGTAAATGTTGACTTAATGTGACGTCAGTGTTGCTGGTCAACCAAGTTTCTTTTATGCGTATGGGCTTTTGTATACCTTATTTCTTTTAATTGATGTTAAATGTTTTGTTCCAAGCTCCATTGAAACATTATTTATTTGTATCCTAGATTGACATGTTTTTTACCTATATATGCACATGCTTGTGTTTTATAAATACATTTATCCCGGTTCTGCTACCTATTACACTACTCGACAAAACCGAACTTTTTTTTTCCTCGAGGATCCAAACCGACTTTTTCTGATAGATATGGGGCTTTAAAATTTTTTAAAGAATTATGGTTTTTTTTCTATGGCAGAACTTTTTTTTGAAGAATTTTTGAAGTCTGGTATTTTTTTTTAAGCTTTTTTCAGAGGTAGCGATAGTTTTTTTCACATAACTTTAATATCTTACGTCTGGTTGTACAGAACTTTGCTATTTTGGTAATTAAAACAGCTAGAAGTTGAGCCCAAATACTTTGTGATTTCAGCTTACTGTCTGGGAAATATAAAGCATTGAAATGCAAAAATGATGATTTTTGTGGGGTATTTTTAACGAAATTTTGACTTTAAAAATTCAGGAAAAGTCGAAAAAAAATTATATCTTGTGGCCTCTTTTTTTTTTTTTTTGTGTATAGGTGCGTTAATTTGGCGTCGTTTAAGGTATCGCTCATTAAAATCTATGGAGAGACTTTGGAGCTAAAATTCGTTAACCAAACCTAAAAAATGGAAAAAATGAACAAAAAATACGAAGGCGCGGGCCCAACTGCCAATCGGGAACAAAGCAAACGAGCAAGGGTTGTACATTTGGTACCTGATCGCGTTCCTTTGTTCCCAATTGGCAGTTGGGCCCGCCGCCTTCAAAAAGTCAAAATTTCGTAAAAAATACCCCACAAAAATCATCATTTTTGCATTTCAATGCTTTATATTTCCCAGACGGTAAGCTGAAATCACAAAGTGTTTGGCATCAAGTTCTTTACAACCAGACGTAAGATACTAGAGTTATGTGAAAAAAACAAGCGTTACCTCTGAAAAAAGCTTTAAAAAAAAATACCAGTTTTCAAAAATTCTTTAAAAAAAAGTTCTGCCATAGAAAAAAAAAATATCATCAAACCATTTCTAAGCCCCAAATCTTTAAGAAAAAGTTCGTTTTGTTCCTTGAGGAAAAATCGTGTTGACTAGTGTTATTGGGAGTCTTGAGCTGCAAAACTTTGTTAAAATCTTTAGAACAGAGACTGAGTAGTTTTTGCATTAATTGAAACCTGAAAATTCAAACAATATCTCAAGCCCATAATATCCATTTTTCCAAGGTATGCAGACTGTTGCTCATTCCGTGCCAAAGTTGCATAACAATGCTGCTACTTCATTTCCCCATGTTGCTGAAATTGTTGGTGCGCTAAATTGAGTTTGGCGGTCAATTTGAAATGTGTTTTTATATTTTGAAAAATAACTTGATTTTTTTTTGTCGAGTGACCTCAGAAACCGAGACTGGTTCTCCAGTAAATACAAAAAAAAAAAAATTAATAATTAATAATTTTTTTAGCCCGATACTATCATGATAGTATCGATTGTTTTTTGTACATGGTAACTACACGGTAACTACACTCTACAACATATTTATGAACTATGTACATTTTGTGTTCCATATTTTCTTTAATCAATGCCACTAACCATACAGTATATAGATGTGCCAGTTCATACAACGAAAGGGGCGCAGCTGAGTTTGCAGCGTACGTTCCCAGATCTTCGGCTTTGGGAATGGCCGCGTTCGGCTCATTACGTCACACGAGCCGACTGGCAGAAAGCATGCATGTGTTGTGTACGTGTACACTCCAAAATAATAATAATTAAATACCCTGCAGTACCAGAAATGAGCGATGACAAATTTCAACTACGCGTCATTCAGGATTATTTCTCTGCCGCTGCTACAGACGAGTAGAATATGACGTCGACGTCGCGATCGACGCGTCGGTCAGACCAAACTCTTTTTTTCTTTGTTTCTTTCTGTTACGACTCGTGCCGTAACAGAATTCGGTTTTGCCGTCGGCGTCGACAACGTAGTTAGAATTGTGCGGTGAAAAGTGAGACGCAGGTTTTGTTTATTTTGGGCAAAATTATTATCAGGTAAGTGCAGTGTTTCATTTAATTAAAAATAGTCTATTGTGCGTTGTAAAAAATGAAGAAAATGTGCGAAATTATATGCGTTTTGGACGAAATTTTTCATATTCATCAACGAAAAAAAAACAACCCGAGTGGTTCTTGCGAGTCTTGAGTCGAACAGGTACATATCTTGGCGAGTGTTTTGTTTTTGGCGCAAATGCACTGCTGATCTACTGAGAGCATTGTTAACAAATTGAAAAATATTTTAATTAACCCATCTTTTTTTAAAGGCGATTCAGTTGAACATGAGAAAATCAAATAAACTAAAAAGGTTCTGTGGAAAAAAGAACACACAGCACACAAATGTGAATATGTATACATTTTTATAAGAAAACAATAAATAAAAGAAATTTAATATTTTAAAACAGAATTTACCCATGCCTTTTTCATAAAAAAATTAAAATTTTTTACTTAAATACATCACTTATTAGGGCCTTACTTTTTAAGGGAAATTCATCGCTTATTAAGGCCTTACTTTTCAAGGGAAATTCATCGCTAATTGAGGCCTTACTTTCGGCTAATTCTCGCTTACTATGTCATCGATTATGCTCCTAGGACATCCCTGTGTTAAAGTAAACAGCCCATCGTATGGCAGGTCATCGCTTATGTCATCGAGCTGCATGACGTTGCCATCGATGTGTGGTTGCTTACACATCGCTTACCCGTACTGCAGGGTATGCATAGAATAATTTTTAGCTGCCGAAACCGACTTTGTTCGAGATTTCAGTTTACGTAAACGTGTGTGTGCCATGTATTCACACATACTGTGCTTGTGTGTGGGCTCTACAATTTTTGGCAGTTTGAATTGGTTTTTCGTTTTGTTTGAGGGCTGATGTGATGTAGCGACCTGTGCTGACCTGCCGCAATATAACTGAGGAATGGGCAGAGTGGGTGGGGGTGGGAAATAAATACAATATATAAAAATAAAGGATGTTATCTCTGCTCATATCTCCTAAACTAAAATTATCTTGAAAATTAGATTCGCTAAAGCTCTGGAAAATGTTCTACTAGATGTGTACATTTATTTTATTCAAGGCGTTCATAAAATATTTTTTCGTTTTGTTTTGAAAATCTGATGTTGCGACGGGCGCGCGGGGTATTTCTTCCATTCTCTTTTAGTTTAAGCCTAATACTCAGATCGAAAAAAACACCTAGCGAACAGAATCAGGGTTGATATTCGTATGAAACCGATAAGAAATGTAGGCTCTGTACGGAAGGCAGTACTCAGATCAAAAAACCAAAAGGTCGGTATATACTGGAAAAGTATCAGAAGTATTTGCTTGTTTTTTTTGGTATGTTTCGACCCACCTCGAAAAAGATATAAATTTGATATCTTTTGCCAGCAAACATTGCAATAAGAGAACAAAAAGCCAAATGAAATATTTTAATAATGAAGACAAATAGAATCAAATTAATGCAGCATTATATA